CTCCCAGGAAGTGCAGGCCAAGATCAGTCACTGTCTGTGGTCTGCCTGGGGCCAGCGACATGAACTACAAAATGACCTGGAGGTGCCCAAGAGAGGCCAAGCTGTGAATCAAGGCCAGCTGCTGCTTGTGCCAAGCCTGGGGCCACTTAGTGAGAGGTACAGGATCACATCAAGTCCAGATGCTGCTTGTTTGAGAGATTGTAGGAAAGTCTAAGGTATGAGCCAAGATGGGCCATTCACATGGAAAAGCCACTGGAAGCAGCCTGGGTGGGTCCTCTGGTTGGGTGTGGTGGTGTCTCAGGGAATCACTAGGACTAGGTGAACAGTGATAACCAGGTTGATTAAGACTCTGATATAGTGGCCACCTGCTGGCTCTGGGGGGGAGGGCTCAGAAAAGGAACAATGGCCTCTGCCAGCACTTTTGTCTGGGAAAAAAACTGCCCCCTCCAGCCCTTTGTCTGATTCCAGACATTTCAGTTCTTCTCCATATGTCCCTGGTGACTTTCGAGCTGCTGCCCCAGGGCTGGAACTCAGGGGGAATGAGTCTGAGTAAGTCTGTGCTGGGGCCCTTTAAGAGGAATGCCTGGGACTCCATAAGCCGTCTGCCTGCCTCAGCCACAATCCCCACTGGTTTTCATAGGCAGAAGTTATGGGAACTTCTCTTTCCAGCACTGGAATCCTGGGTTTGGGGGCCTGGTATGGGGCTGGGACCCCTCATTCCTCATGGGGTACCTCTGCAGCCAAGATACCCCTCCCAATTTTTGTTCACCACACATGGGTGTGGAACCAGCTGGGTCTACATCTGTGTCCCCTCCTACCATTCTCAATGTGGCTAAGAAGCCTAGATTTAAATCCCTAGTTGTAGGATTTCCATTCAGCTAAATTTCAGGTGGTTCTGAATGACGATTGTTCTGTAGTTTAGTTGTATTACGTATAACTTTTGATTCCCCTAAAACAACTGCAGTCGTCCCTTGGTATCCACAGGGGATTGGTTCCAGGACTCCCCTGCTTCCTGTGGCTAACAAAATCTATCCACAGTTACCGAAATCCCTTATATAAAATGGCATAGAACAATGCATGCAGTCAGCCCTCTGCATCTGCGGAGTCCCAAACATGGACTGAAAATACTGTCTTCGATCTGCAATTGATTGAATCTGCAGATGCAAAACCCACGGATGTGGAGGACTGACTGGAGGAAAAAAACATCCACATGTAAATGGACATGCAGGTCAAACCCATGTTGCTCAAGAGTCAATTATAACTGATCTTCAAAAATTGTTCTAACATCCTATTCTGCCCCACAAATAGCATAGAGCTAAAGGTGAGGCACTGCTAGTCAGTGTCCTCTCATTAGTTCTAGCCAGGGATGCTGAGCTGTCTTAGAAATTTTGCTCTAACGAAAACAAAAAACTTTCAACTCTTTAAAACTGGTTATAGCATCCTCTTCTCAACATCTTTTTGTTCACAGGCAATGTACACGTAGCCAGTAATGTTCTGGCACTTTCCATACTTGGGAATTGCTCTGTCAATTCCTGTTTTAAATGAGTCAAGATGTTTCCATTACTTCTTTTCAGAGATTGTTCTACCAATGAAATTGTTCACTTTATTGCACTACATCTTACTTTTCTCCATCTTCTGATTTACTGCGGCTCTCAGCAGTTCATCACCTTATTCCTTCCCCTGGACCATCTATAGTGTTTCCCCTGCTGTTGGACCCCGGTAATAACCAGGTCTCAGTTTTCTTCAGCAAGAGAGAACATGGTAAAGTCCCGACTTCTGATATTTTTGTTATTTTGCAGTCGCCACTTCCCGAGCTCTGCCAGAATGCTGGAGGATTTTACAGGGCAGAAACACACACTCATTGCCCCAGTATCTTGCAACCTGATTTAACACCAGGCAACCAATGCAGATACAGACTCATGTATGGCATTGTGAGAAGATAGTTAGGTGTCACGAGCATGAAGCTATTAGATTCTGACGACAGACCTTCTTGTGCCAGTTCTTAGGTTTAGGAATGCAAGAAGCAGCAATCTGTGTTGCTGAGTAATATTTCCACATATAGCAGGTCCATCCTGCACTTCACAAGTGGGAACTAGTCTCCAGGGAGACTGGTGGTTTTTCAGCCTTGTCAATATCCAAGAAGCCAAGCCAGATACTCACTCCTTCTTGCCCGTTTCTTATGGCTCCTCACTCCCTATCTTATTCTTAATAGGTAACCTCATCAACCTCATTCCACAAGCACTACACGGCTCTAACTCCAGGTTAAAGCCACATCAGCCCAGTCCCTCCCACAGCACAGCACAGGGCAATATCTGTGAATGAACAGGCTTGGTCCCTGCCCTCAGGAGCAAATGGTCCAAGTTCAAGATCACATATAAACATTTGTGTCTTTTAAATGTTACTGTTTTCCTGAACAAATTTTTGAGTCGCTATAGTTTTTCCCTGATCGCTCTCATCCTGTCCTTCCAAGGTGGGATGATGCTTATTTAGAAATTCTCACCTAAGACAATGGTGTTGTCAGCCAGCCTGTCCCCAAGCGGACCCATGGAACTAGCTGTCCGTGTTGATGGAGCGCCCCAGTAGGAGCAGTGCCCCAGCTAGGACAGCACCCCATCCTGGGCAGGCGTGGAAACCCAGACGCTGTCTCGCAATGTTCTCTCAAGCCCACACCTCCAGGGCCGACCAGCTCTCACGTCTACTCAAGTGAGAGGGGGAGGAGTTTCAACAGTTTACATGGGACCAGAACATCATCAGTCACCTGGAAAAACAGTGCAATTGAGGTGACCTTACAATTCTACATTTCTCCTCACTCCTTCAGAACCGGATTTATTTTAGGCAATGGGTCTGTCAGCCAACTTGTCTGCCCTTTGCTTTCCTTATAGTCTGGTCTGTTTGCTGTGTGATAGTCTCATTTCAATCTGCCCTCTAAGAAGCAAAACACAACAAAAGTTCTATTATTTACAAGGAACAAATGAACGTTTATGTCAAAAGTCTATATCTGAGGCCATTCATGAGTCTGAGGCCTGGGTCAAATACCCACCGCCCCCCCACATCAAACCCTTATACCAAAATAGGCCCCATGTAGAGATAGAGAACTGCAAGTTGAACCCAGTAAAGGTGTAATTAGTTTGAACAGCTATCAATTCCAACTAACTCTTGAACTCTCAAATACCTCACACCCTCATTCTTGCCTGCTTGCTTCAGTGCCCCATGAAAACGAAAACTCTTAAGTTCACACTTCTTCTGAATAAGGTCTTCTGTATACTAAGCTTGGGGCGGGGCCTCTGTCTGAAAAGGCAGAGCTGCATTTTCCCTAGGAGCCTTTATTATTATTAACTTGCAGTCACTCCGAAGGTAATTGGGAAATGAAGGCATTATTATTTTTTTTTTTCTGACTTGACATGTCAAGATGCTGAACTCCTTCTGCTTCCTTTCCTTCTGGCAGACCTGAAGGTCATTTCACAAGGTAGTGCAACCCATTGTCCTATGTGACCGGGCCCCAGGAGTGCTTCCCACAGAGGGTTCCTATTCTGAGGAATTCTGATAGAACCCCCGGAGGGGAAAAGCATTTTAGTCAGCATTCATCAGACTCACTGGAATCAGTTACTAAATTACAATTCCTTAAAATCTGGAAGGATTTCAGAACTACTGTTGTGTTTCTGGTAAGTTACTGGATGACACTGGTGTCTTGGAATAAGGCAACACATTTTAAATGTAAGTTTCCAGAAACTGTAACTCAACTTCCCCAGTTCCTAGCTGATTTTCACTGGCTCAGACTCAGGAAGTATTTTCATCTGCAGGATCCAAGCCTTCAGAGACCAAACATTTCCTGAAGATCTTCCTCTGCTTTCTGACCTTTACCTACATCCTCCCAAAGAAATCCAAAGAAACTTCTCATCAGTGCACACAACTAAGAGTGCCCAGTGGGCCGAAGGTGCGGGATAAAGGAAGGCGAATCCAAGACTTGTTCTTGGTATCATGGGACTTGATGGCTCGAGCATGTTAACCCCCTGTTTTATGGCTGCAATATCAATCACCCACTTCTGGAGCTTTTCTGAAGAATTGATTTTGTACATGGTGTTTTTTCTTCATACTCCGGAAACCATCTATCATCAAACAGGAGTTGATGGTTAGGAGTAACAGCAGCCAAGAACATTTACATTATCAGGCTGGCACATTCAGAGGTTTTGAAACTCATTAACTCAGTTCTGCTGCCTCTCTCCCATTGCTTGTTAAAACCTGAATTGGATGCGTGGGGTTATTGGTTTGGGGATAGAACCACGGTGCCCTTATTAGGAGATACCCTGGCCTGCTGCGCAACTGCCCCGTGTTCTCCCACTTCACAAAACTGCAAGTATCTTCGCCCATAATTTCGAAAGTCTTGTCTGAACTAGACTTTTTCTGCTCCGTTAGGATAGGAACTCTGTTTCCTTCCCATCCTGGCATCCTTACTCCCCTCGTTCCTGGGCCTATCCTTGCCAGTGGACGCTCTGTTACTATGACTGGTGGGGTATTCTGGGCACTGCCAAGACAGGTCCTAGCACTTGTCACCAATATTTTCAATTCTCGCCACTTTTTTCTTTGTCGTCGTCACCGACCGATGCCTCTTGCCAATCATGACCCCAAGTTCAGGACGTAGGACCGCTGCCGTGCCTCCTTTCCCCCCGGAGATGCTCTCCTCCCTTCCACACACCCCTCCACCAAGCCACTAAAGCTCCTTGCAGTTCTGAGCCTGCGGCGCCGGGCCCCTGGAGTCCGATGCCCTCCTGGGCTTGCAGGCAGGCCCGAGGCGCGCGAAGCCAGGGGGCAGCAGGCGGGCACACGGCCAGGGTGCCCAGCTCTCGGGGCTGCCCGCAGGGTGGAGCGGCCCTCGTGGCCGCTCCCTCTCCGCGCCTTCCCCATCCCCAAAGAGGACACCCCTCCTTCCGCCCTCCGCGGCGCCGCCCCACCGCCGCCCGCCCGCCCGCCCGCCCGCGCTGGCCCGGAGCCTCCCAGGCAGCCAGCGAGCGAGGGGAGCGCTCGGGGATGGGACTTGGCGGAGGCGGCCAAGGAGGATACAGCGTCAGCGGCGCGGGCTTCTTGCTCGGCTCCCACGAACGGTCCCCGAGGACAGCCGCGGCTCGCGACGCGGCACGGAGGCCCACGAGGAAGACCCAGGTGGCTGTGTCCCTGCCTCGCTTCCCAGGCGCCGGCGGCTGCAGGTGAGCAGGACGCGCCTTCCCCGGGATTCTGCGCGGCCCCGCTGCCCCGGGGCGCAGACAAGCGGACCCACCGACTTACTGACGGGTAGACCGGGAGCGCTGGGCTGACCGACGCCCGTTGGCGCTGTACCCCCTCCCCCGCTACTGCCCTGCAGCTCCGCGCGGCCCCGAGCGCCAGGCGTCCCTTCCCGCCCCTGGGCCCAATGCCCTGACCCCTCGGGCCAGAGCGCGACAGGGAGTGCTGCGCTGCCCGGACCCCTCGCGGGAAGAAGTCAAAGCGCCCCGGCCGGGCGAGCTGGGCGAGCGCCCTGCGCGTGGCGCATGGCACGGCCGCCACCTTGCCGTGCCCCGTGGGGGCGCTGTACCCCGCAGCGGGGGCGCCCAGACCTGGTCTCCAAAGACTGAGGAAAGGGAGACTTGTTGAGCGGCCAAGCCAGGTGGATGCCGATCCCCACCCCCTCACACCCTCTTGGTCTGCTGATACTTGAATGCCCGTGTCATCTGGATTTTGTTCTTTGGTTCTCTACGGCAGCTTAAGCTCCAGCTTCCCTGTACAGTGGACAAAGAAAGGGGGAGGCATTTTATGGCAGTTGCTAGAATCCCCGAGGATAGTTTGGGGAGAGGACAGAAAAATGGAGACTCTCTCAGTAAGGTCTCCAGGACTGAAAGCACAGGAAGCTAGCTCCTCAGACACACGTACTCCCACCCCGAAAAATTGACCTAGTTCCCAGTTGTCCTAAGTCAGGGAGCCAAGATGCATCTGCACCGAGTACATTTAATTGGCCTTCCAGGCGTGGGACAGCTAAGAGACAACCAAGAAGCTGCAGCGGACTGTGGTCAAGAGCAGGGACGCTGAGGATGGCCTGGGTTAGTAACTTTGGAGTAACCCAACTATTCTATTCTTCAGTTTCCTCATCTATTTAGTGGGATAATACCCACAAAGCTGTGAGGATTATTCAAGTCCTTAGAATAGTCCCAGGTGCATCCTAAGGTTAGGTGGTGGATTCTATCACCTGTCTTTCCAGAAAAAGTAAGGGGTTCCTTTGAGCAAGCACTTCCTTCCTAACTCAGGAAGAGAGCCTTTCCATGGACACATGAAGGTGGCAGATATTCCGTGTGTGTTTAACTGGAGTTTTCCACTTAGGGGTCCACTATTGTACAGCTCTCCCTGTCTGCTTTCAAAGTGACAAGATCATAAAAGCACATTAAGATACCAAGTTGGGTATATGGTCTGGAAAGTTTCCTCTCAGCTGCTGAAGCTTGGTTCCTTAGAATCAGTCCCCTGTGGAGAAAGCAGAGGCCTGTGGCTCTTCACCTTCTATTTCCCTATCTGTTTATACTTTTATTTGAACCAATAGAACTCAGTCTCAGGCCCCCAAAGCAAAGTTCCTTGCTTCTAGAGTCCACACCCAGGGAAACTGGAGCCCCTGAGGCCTGAGCTCCCTCCTGGGAGGTGCCATAGTAGAGACCACTTCCGAGATACCCTCAGTTGGTTGTCATGCCTGAAGCACAGCAAACCACCTATATCTCTGTCAGCAAGAGGTAGTTGAAGTGAGGCCCAGGATTTAAAGAAAAGGAAATAGATAATCGCTCCTTGAAAGAGAGAAGGAATAAGAAATTTGTTGAAGATTCTAGAAAGAAATCCCACTGGTTCCCTAGAAACAGCTCTGCCAGGTGCCTAAGAGAAGGAAGGCAGGAAGTGAGGCCAGGATGGGGATGGAGAAAGGGATAGACACAGGCTCGGGTCTCAGGACAGGCGGGCTGAAGAGGGTGTGACGGGTTTCAAGGCTGGCCTTCGCAAGGTGTTGGGCGCAAAGCTGGGTGGGCAGTGAGAGAGGCCGTGAGAGGACCCCAGGGTGGGCGCTTGCGTTTAAGACCTGTCAAGTGCATCAGAGAGTCTCCTGGTGCTTTCCCCAGGACGTGGTCTGGAACACTGGCGCCGTTGAGAAAGGGCTTCCCTGGAGCTCCCCATTCTTAGGAAAGCTCAGGAGGGCTCCCTCGTTTAATGTGCACGTGGAAATAACTCTGGAGGCTCCGGGGAAGAGGAGGGCTGAAGTGCCAAGAGGAGAGTGGAGCGTGTCATCACTGTTGCTAGTAAACAGCACCAGGGAGGCCCTTCCAAGGGACCAGTTGCCACTTGGAGCTCCAGACGTGAGATCATTTTTGAATCCTGCCATTTGGCTCGGCAGACAGCCACCACTGCCTTACCCAGCAGGACCCTGAAGGGGACTCAGAGAGAGGGAGACAATGCTGAGCTCCATCCCAGAGGCCTCAAGGGTTGTCGCTAATAGGTGGTGCTGATGATGACACTGGTGAGTGGTAGCGGGGCTACAACCTGGACCACGTGGGTCTTGGCACCTGAAGGTCCTGGGTTCCAGTCTCGACCCTGCCAGTCACACCACCTGTAAGGATTTTGAAAAGTTACTGAAGCTCTCTGTGCCTCAGTTTTCTCATCTGTAAATGGGAAACAGGATTGCTGGAAGAATTAAATTAGTTAACACACATGAAGTGCTTAGTACCTGGCTCAGAGTAAGTGCTCAATATTTATTAGGTGTTCATATTATTATCTGAGCCTCGGTTATATCATCCATCAAATGGGCATGATACGCTGTAAGACATAGGATTGTTGTGAGGGCTAAACGTGAAATAATCCACCAATGTGCAGGGTGTAGCCATACTCAGAGTGAGCTGGTTGAAAGTGAAATTTTTACCAGAACATCTGCATGTGAAGTCAGTGGCTGAGCAGGTGGAGCAGCTATCGTCTTTGGAAAGTTCTTCAAAGAGTATAGTCAAAGAAACCTTGGTCTGCCGTCGGAGAGTGTGTCTCACTCCCCATTGGAACCCCAGATTGATATTCTACGTATTTTAGCGATTAGTTTCCTGTGGCTGCTGTAACAAATTACCGTGATCTTAGTGCCTGAAACAACACAAATGTATTCTCTTCCAGTTCTGGAAAGCAGAAGTCTGAAATAGGTTTTGCTGCGCTAAAATCAAGGTGTCGGCAAGGCCATGTTCCTTCTAGAGGCTCGATGGAAAAATCTGTTTCCTTGTCCTTCCTGGCTTCTAAAAATTACCTCTGCTTCTTGGTTCCTAGTCTCTTCTTACATCTCCAAGGTGTAGCAGCTTCCAATTTCCTCATCGTCCTCCCCTTTCGCCCTTCTCCTCCTCTTCCTTCCTCTCCCGCCTCTCCCTTGCTTCTTCTTCTCCTCCTAATAAAGACCATTATGGTTATATTGGGCCCACTTGGATATTCCAGGCTAATTTCTCCATTGCAAGATCCTTAATCATATCTGCAAAGGCCCTTTTGCCACTTAAAGTAACATATTCACCTACCCATTTTCTCAGTTGTCATAACTCAATCAAATCAGCAAAGAGTAAGGGACATTGTGTGGAGCTACTGGGCTGGAATCAAGGGTTAATGATTGTGTGTGTGTGTGTGTGTGTGCGTGCGCGCGCGTGCGCGTGTGTGTGTGTTGGTGGGGTTGTTGCAGGGAGAGATGGTGAGGATAGCATTGTAACACAGGGACAGATTATAGGGCTTGGACTGATAAGCTAAGGAATCTAGATTTTTACCCTGATGATACATGGAAGTCACTGACAGCTTTTGAGCAGGAGCGCGAGAAGCATGGTATTGTGTTGGGAAGATTGAATTCAGTGCTAGTGCCTAAACAGGAGAGATGTAGAGAGAGCCTGTTAATTAGGACTGTGTTCAGTTTCAAGTTGCAGAAAAAATGGAAGAGGCAGGGGCTTCAGGAAGGAAGTTTATTTCTGTTTTGTGTTCTAGAAGCCTGAAGGCAGTGAGTTCAAAGCGAGTTGGCTCAGGGACCCACACTCCAGTGCCTCACTGCTTTCACCAGGCAGCGTGGCTTCCGGGTCCACAGTACCTCAGGGTTCGGAATGACTGCTGGGTCTGCAGCCAGGATGTCCTCATTCCAGCCAGCAGGAAGGGAGAAGCAAGGATCCTCCCATCACAGGAGACAGTCGTGGGAGTCGCCAACATTCGGGCGAATACAGAATAAAGAGGGAGACCTGGGCTCGGCCTTGGCAGTTGTCTGGTGCAGAATAAGGGCCTGTTTGATTCAACATTTATTGCTCTTTTGTTGATCCATACATATGTTTATTGAACCTTTATCTGTTTCCTAAAGATTTATTTACAAAATTCAGCACCCAGCACGTGGAGGACACAGACATGACAAGGTGTGGTCCCAAGCAAGGATCATCTCACAGTCTACACAGAGAGATAGGTATGGTCGCGAGAAAAAGAAGCCAAGGGCTACAGCAGATAAGAAGCCCATTGTCAGGGGTGTGCAGGAAGTCAATCCTCTTTGGGAAAATTGGGAAACATTGTAGAGAGTGAGTTGAGCCTTGAGCAATGAAGACAGTTTTGATTAATGTAGAAGGTAGACCTTGCAGGCCAAGAGGCCAGCACGGGTGAAAGTGCCCAGCTATGACGAGAATCTGTAGGTGCTGGTAAGGGGGGGTCTGAGGTACACGTGGGACTGCCACAGTTGAGGGGTGGGCAGTGGGCACTCATGGGAGGCCTTGAACTTTAATGTTATGCCATAAGGCCATAGATGGGTTCCAGACAGAGAAGAGACAGGACCAGGAGTTGAAGGGGCCAAGGCAGGAAGAGCAGTTCCGAGGCTCCTGGAAGAGCCCGGGGGAGAAATGGAGGGACGGAGCATGGCTGCCCGGGTGGCAGCAGTCGCGAGGGCTGGACGGGGCAGCCACACAGAGGCGTGAAGGCCAGGAGTCCACTCGGGAGTGTGATGGTGATGTGAGGAAGACATGGAAATGGGCCCAAGTTTCCAGCCTGGGTGGCTCAGAGGGTGAAGTTACCTTAACACTGAAAGGACTTGAGGGCAGGAAGATGACTTTGTACCTGGAAAGGCTGAGCTGGCAGGCAGGCCTTTACTATTGGGTGAAAAACCACAAACAGGCAACGTCAGGCAGCATCAAAGAGAACAGCGGTCTATCCTTTACAGCTCCCGAAAACCATG